TTGAATGATGTTAATATCCTCATGCGGAAATGCACCACTTCAAATTTATTTGATAAATATCATAATTATAGGCCAATCAGCCTATAGCAAAATAGGCAGAACGGCCTATAATATCCCGTTTGGCCTATTATAGGCCGATCGGTAGGGAGAGTTGAATTTAGGAGAATGTTCGTAGTATCGGGATCACGTTAGCGTGTAATGTGGCTCCAAGTGGATTGCCATTACTTGTTAATGAAAGGCTCAGGGGTTATGATGATTAAATTAATCGATGTGACAAACATGAAAACCTTTTTATACTTCCAAACTACATTTACTAATGCAGGTTAATACATATCATACCATAACGTCCGTTAAAACTAATAAACGGATGTTTACAATGGGTTTTTATATATATTTTTTTGTTTATTTATCAAACCCCGAGGCATCATGTTGAACATTGTGAATAAAAACGTTAAAGCAAATACGCTATGTAATAAAAAACACAAAGAATTCCAGGTGAGTTGGGGAGGTGGGGTACGGTAGCCTGGTGGTAAAAGCATTCCCTCATCACGTCAGTTCCCAACATGGACACTATGCGTGAAGTCCGTTCCTGGTGTCCGCTCCGGGATACTTTTCAAAATGCATTGCGAATTTAGCGAATGTGTTATGGGATTTATAAACCGTTACTAAATTTGCTGTTCAATGCAACTTGACCATGTACAGTAGTTGGCCATAAGTGAGTCAACATTAGTGAAATTCTCATAGACTTGCATGTTAATTAACTCTTGCACGAATAATTTTCATAAATTTAGTTTCGATCGAATAGCTTTCAATACTTATCTCCAAGCTGGGATTTCATCTCAGCTACATACACATAATTACCATTCAATTTTCCGATGATTATTAAGAAAACTACATTTAAACAACATATATTAGACACACCAATCAGGTTTAACATGGCTGTCTATGGGATAGATTAAACTTAAGTTGTACTCATGGTGCTTAATCAGATGTCATTCGATAACTAATCAACGGAACGATGAAAGAAAATTATGTACACGTAGCTGAAGATGATTTCCAAGATGTTTGCAAAATATCAAAATAAAATGACTTCTACTCAATTTATGAAAATTACTCCTGCAACAGTTAATTAACATGTAAGTCTATGGAAATTTCACTAATGATGACTCATTTACGGCCACCTACTGTAACATATAATATATTTGGGATTACTCTTTCTTAGTAAAGTACAGATTCTAGTACTACTTGTTGTTGGGTTGTGTCCCATCCATGTGCCTGACTCTGACAGTGTAGGTTCGAATCCCGGGTGGGACTCAACCTAACAAAAGTACTAGAATCTATACTTTACTAAGAAAGTGTAATCCCAAATATAACATATGTTACATTTAACCACTTTCTAAATGCTACTGTGTATTTACATTGTCAACTTTACCATGTTAGTAACAGAAAAACAACGCTTGAGTGGGTGTGTTTCGAGACACAAAAGTCGTCGTTACACACCCCATTTTCAACACTGACATGTGCATTGACATTTCGTGTCAGCTCGATATTGTCACGAAATTGTACACATAAAACATGCATCTGAACGACCAAATTGATTGAATATAGTAAGTATCTTCATTTTAGCAAATTTGATGCCGAAAATATCGTTGATTCATCCCATCTTCCCCTGTTGTATGCTGGAAATAAACTGAACGCCCAGTAATAGCAACTAGGGAAATGGTCCTCTGTAATAATAATGTTCAGTGGTGGAGTCTGATATACGTGTATGTCCAACTGACTGCATTTACACGCAAGCCCTTTATATTGTTATCACATAATAAGATTAATCATAAATACATCTAATACGTTTGAAACACATAACTGATTAATTCAACCACGTATTTTCGAACAATGTATGTGCTTTAAAAATGTCAGAGCTGAATGGGATGATAATAAAGAAGAATATATTTATTATTTTTTATTCATTTGGTAATGTCATAAATCATTTCACTATGACATTCATATCTATTCTTCCATTGTTCATGGGGTTGATCATGATGACGAAATAGCCATTGATCTTTAAAAGTATAACAATAGACATGGTGTGGTCACATCTGTGTGGTGCTACCAAGACGTTGATTACAGATCACACAATTGGCGTGATATCTACTGAATACAGAAAACTACATGACTATGATAAATAGAGGATATTATATGAGTGCCCATGTCACACACTGTTTACGACACGAATGTTTGTATTTCCCGAGCGAGAGCGAGGGATATCACGATATTTAGGCACGAGTGTCTGATATAGTATGACATGGTATGTATGAAACATAGTATGATATGGGCACGAATATAATTTTCTGTTTATTACCGAAGTCGTCAACTTTGCAAATTGAGGAAAATAACCCAAATCTACTTTCAAACATTAGCTATCTACCCGCCGTCGCCGCAAGTAGAACGCAACGTCACAGAAGAAACGTGACGTCATAGCATTATTCATGACGTCAAGTCACCCTGAGAAAGTGATATTTTGCCCAAGGGCATCGTATGAAAAATATGAACCCTCGATATGTTCGCCGTCGTAGGTAATAAATCTATTTATTACTCGCCCGAGGAAGATACTGCGGTGTAATATTTGTTACGGCAATATTACACTAGTGTAATACCGCAAGACGTATGACGGCAGAATGGTTCACAGTTATGACTTCACAATGCTAAATACCTCTGTCACAATGGTATTAGACCTTGCTTGAAAATTGAGTCATCACAATGTGGGCAGTTAATTTTAATTTATGTTCGAGAGTAAAAAAACAGAATACTAAATTGGCTTCCCTGAAATACCATTTTTATTAAACTCGTGAGCTTTCGCTCGTTTGTATACCAATAACCTCACGTGTTATATGCCATGCTACCATGCTCCACAATCCTGTTTTGTATTTTTATACATGTCACCGTACATATTCTTTTTGTACGTAATACATGAAAATGGGGAAATAAAAGCCTTGAATTTAAAAAAAGAAACAAATAAAAACAATGTTCATATGGATCTAAAGGTTTTCCCTAGTTATTTCACTAGGTGATCAAAAAATATATCCGCTAAACCTACCCTGTAACGATGGAAGATATGGGACATCATCGGCGATATTTTCGTCATCAAATTTGCTAAAATAAATATACTACAGTCCGTTTGATTACATTTTAGACCGATGAATTGCTCACTAACACAAAACCTAATAAATGCAAAAAAAACAGAATTTCCAAAGTCCCGTGAAATCGACAGACCAACTCTGATGATTTGTCTCATAATTTTGGACACCCGAATATAAAAGTTGTTTAAAAAACGATCATTATTTTGTTGTCACTTGTCGCTATTTTTTACGAGGGGGGACCACTTGCTGGTAGAACAGAATCCCACGACCCAAGACACTCAAGCATTTCACTCAGACGGACTATGACGCAGTGTTGAAAAGGTGTCAGCCCGGGACCGCCACATTTCCCAGTTAGTATAGTCCCAGGAGCGCCACAATTGATTTCACTGCAGTTGGTGGCATTGTGGGGATTATATGGCTATATACAGGAAGTACACTTAGGACTGTAGTGATTGGTGCTATCTGTTGGCGAAGTGGTAGAGGGAGATAACCGAGGAAAGGTTCCCACTGAGATCCAGTGGTCACAGAGACCAAGTGGTAACAATTAAGTAACATCGTGGTAAACAGAGACACTGTTACATCACATATAATATCAAGATTATCACGCTTCATACTCTGTGAAATGAAGTGAAATAATATATATAACTCACATAGAGACGAACGTGCATATACCTGTGGTAACCTAGACTTGCTTATTTATGGCTTCTGCATTTCCAGGAATTTCTTTTGGCATGACGCGGACAGGTGATCGAACCATCGACCTTCAGGTAAATGCATAATGACAACACTGAGATGGGGAAATTTATTGGAGATAACGTCAGTGACGGTTAATGGGGCTGGCTTCTAAAGACCAAACCGAAACATGAGTCTCATTAACCTATTCAGACAATGAACTACTTTTCAGCCGATCCGAAGTTTCTCTTGTGAAAGTGAAAAGAGACACCACAAACAACTATGGTTACACAGAATTCCAATTCCTTGTTTCATAAAAAAATGGTATTTACAAATGAATTTTAATTTTAAACTTTAATAACATCGTATTTCTATATTTTATATCTCTGTTTAGGCAGCATGACTTTAACTAAGAATTCACAGATTGCCCCTGTTTAATGAGGTCGTAAAATGATTCACAATTCATCTGGCTTACTGGTTACACCTGTTATGTGTTTTTTGCGCTTATTCAGTGTAGTTTTGTAACGCACAATGTGATTGATATAATATCAAGTCCGTACCAGACCGCCAAACTTATCTAACGGCAGAGCCTCGCTTTGAGATTTCCATGATTTCCAGATTTCCGTCTGTCAGTCCGCTTTACGACAGAGCACGCTGCACGACGTGTTTGTAAGGATTAGAAGGAGCGTTGCAATATACAAGCGCTTAGATGTACCAAATAATACTGATTAATATTTATGCATCCAGTTGAATGAATTGGTCTCAAAATTCTGGACTGGTTATTGTACTATGTTGAGCAATAGGACGCAACCCAGTCAACAGGAAACGAGACTGTTGTGTAATCAATGTTTTGACTTGTGTACTGAGTGAGTGAGTGAGTGAGTGAGTGAGTGCATGAGTGCGTGCGTGCGTGCGTCAATGAGTGAGTGAGTATGGTTTACTCCGCTTTTAGAAACATTCTAATCACAGCTGGGAACACTAGCAATGGGCTTCACACATTATACACACGGGGGAATCGAACCCGGGTCGACGTGACGAGCTAACACCTTTACCTCTTGGCTACCCCACCGCCCACTGCTTCAGACAGTGATAATAAAATGTCACGCTTTTTAGAGAAAATGCGGTGACCATGATTTACTAAATACTATTGGCAATGAGCTAAATACACCATAACTGCTGAAAGCAATTGGCAACGTCGAAACTTGTATCCCCAACACTTTCCATATTCAAATTAAATCATTAAACCAAAGGCGAAACTCTCATCCTATAAGCCTCAAAATCGAGCCAAGATTTAACAGTCATCGTCATCGGATACATTTTCAGGGTCAAGAGAAAGTTTCTCTTCCCCATTTTCTTTGATAAGACAGTCAATCAGTCTAATGAGGTCAGTGACCCTTTCTCTCTTCTTCCCAGGATCTGCTTCAGCGTTGTTAAATAAGATGTAACGGTTATGACAATCCTGCAGCAGCTTCTGCATTGGACCTCCTACAGATTCTATGTACTGGCCAAATGTTAGCGACCTTCTATCCTGTTCCATCTGGCGGTGAAATGAGTCTCCGTGAGTAAAGACGCAGATGACATATTTCCCAAGGATGTTCTGATCCGACTGACGGAGTGACTCTATTGCAGAAATTTCTTCCTTGCTCAGGCGCTCGATGGCAGACATAACCAACAGAATTACATGAACCCCGCGGGGGAACCACATTCCTGACTGATTAAGCATGCTTATCATATTCCTAGTCAGAACCTGATCAACCATCCCACCATAATCCACAACATTAAGATCACGTCCCCCAACTGAATCGCTGATCTTCAGACACGGAGAAAACATAGTTTCTGTTGGTATTTGGCTGAAAAACTTCTTTTGTCCGAAAATGGTGTTTCCCGTAGTGCTGGCACCACGATTTGCCTTGCCCATCAAAATGATGTCCAGAGGCTACCCTTGTGGTAGATCTGCCACGGGTGTACTTTTCTCCTGAAACATTAACTTTAACATAAGTCGTAGCTAGCTTTCAATAAGAGTTCCATGATGTTACAGCTTTCAATGATACACTGGACATAAGGACATAGAGAACGGATAGGTAGCTGAATGTAATCGGGAAGGGCCTTGGATCACATCCTCACATGACTTAAGAAAGAATCTCTTTAAACAATGGTGCCTGAGTCCACAGTGGCACACAAGCCCCTTTTCAGGAGGAATGCAATGCTTTTACAAATAGCAAATCAGAAGTATTATTTGAAGGATGGTATATACACGGCTATTCAAATGATACAAACATCTTTAACTGCATTTATAGAGAGTTTTGCACTATGACTATTTCTACTTCACAACTATCTTGTAAATCCTTATCTTAAGTATCTATCTTGTAGGCATTTAACAGAGCATTCCCTTGTTCATACTTACCTTGGGTGATCTAACTTTAGCGATAAACCTCGAAACTTCCTTTCTGAAACCACCTAATTTCTTTTTAGAGTCATAGACTTTGAAGGCTTGTTCAATTGGTTCCAATCCTCTCAATTTCTGCTACAACCTTCTGGTAGATCCGTAACACTTCTTTGAGCCGCTGGTCAATGCCACCACCCTCTTCTTCCTGACTTTCTATCAGTTCAGTATCAATGTCTCCAAGAAATGAATCTAACTTCGCCCTTGCCCCGAGGAGGTCATCGAAATTTGTCTCTAGCTGTTCAAGAAGAACCTCCAGGCCTTTGTCCCTGATCATGTTTGGGAGCTTGCGGGAAAGGAATTTCAAAGGAACAAGCTCACACCTAATTGGACATCCTTTCCCACCATTTTGTTTCTTTACTTCATGTTGAAAGTTATCCAGCACTTGAAGCATTCCATCAATATCTCTTGGCACCTGGCTGCTTGGTTTGTTGAAAAGTAGCTGATGTTCATCTCTGAGCTACTGGTTAAGTCCTTTTCCAGTTGCTTGAACTTCGCTTTGGCTCCGGCATCCACAATGCCATTTAAAGATAAGTTACCTGTCAAATCAGCCTTGATTTCGTCCAGTTGTCTTTTGTCTGAATTCTTGATCCATATTCTAACCAGCAGTTCCCCTCCATATGTGATGCTGCGGACGAAATGGGTCCCTTGGAGTTTGCTCTTTACACCTGATCTAATTTCCGTTTCTTTCATGGTTTCTGTTACCTGTAATAGAAATTCATTTTAAACAATCCTTATTTTGACAAACTGAAGATGCTGTCAATGTCTTATACTTATATGTCGGTGTGCACTGGATCTTACAAACTGACTCGGATTGTACATTACGAGAAAGGAGGTAATATACGTATGGCAAAGCATTTATTGCGACATTTTTTTCCAGTTTGTGGTTCCTACCTGGTTTTGATTTTGACACGATCCCTGCGGTAACTGATTTGTTTACAACTTTGTAAACCTGATTACATGTCAAATTAAGGGCTTTACACATTCTAAAGTAAACCCTGTCATAGCTGACGAGTGGTTCCCCCCTTTGTTTCTCCGGTATGAAATACTGGTAGAGATATCAAGTTGCATGTTGCCAGTTCAGTGCTCATACACGAAGTGACACTTCTATGGGTGAACAAGATTATCTATGCGATTTGAATTAAGACTTTTTGTCGTAATTATTTTGAATATAACTACTACAAGAGTTTCATCTTTTTCACATACAGATGTTAAAAAAATGTTTAAAAAATTACAATCATTTATGTAATTTAATTAGTTGAGGATGAATAATTATAGTCTGTATTTCAAAACTACAGTTTGTACAGTTTGAATATTTACGAATGTTGTTAAAACGTCAAAATTTCCTCCTGTGAAGTCACCCCTCAAGTGCATTTTTTCATCTGAGTTTTAATATCCAACAAGGTAGAGTCGTACATGTATCGTATATGTGCTTTTATCTTGTGTCAAATTCATCATATTGATATTGAAGCCCAAAAGCATTTTCCAAGCATTTCTGGCCTTACTTTCGTATTCCGTTCTAATATGGAAGGCATTACTCTTATATATTACTTCCAGTTTAATTATTATTACTAATCGTGTTATGAATAACGTGGTTCCAGTTTTAGTTAAAACATTATTATACATGTCTTAGTATTGAAATTAATACTTCATTATTAATGTTTACTAATAAGTAGTAATAATTCATAATAAGGAGTGGTGCAGGTGCGACAGGGAATTAAAGTCGTTCACAGCGTTAAGATGAAATTGTGACATCCCAAATAATTGGGGCCTAGAGCATTGTGTCCCAGTCTTACACCTCACGCTTAAAACCGAGTTTTCCTTTGTTGCCAGTTATGATTCGTGGAATAACTTGTTTATACAAACTACTGAATACAAAAGGTATTCACATCAATATGTACACAGACGTCATAAACCACAAATCTTGACACAAAGTCAAAAGGAACATGAAACCGCCTGACCGGTGGAAGTATTATTTCTATGAGAGTCATAAAAAGCTTAGTTCTCCACAAATTGTAATGTAACTAACAATTTATATACGGACTATACCCACTACCTTGCGGGAGGTTTCATGTATGAGCGCTTCGAACAACATTGCAATCCCATGGACTAGCATGCTATAGCCTGTTTCAGTTTTGTTTTGTTTGTCTTTTCCCTGCGCTGGCTGGGATAAGAATGACGTTTTTCCTCAGGTGAATGTTCAGGACCGTAGAATTCTTTTACAAATTATTTTTTGTACATCAAAGTATTGATCTAACACTCTTATGAGTGCCATACACACACACACACACACACACACACACACACACACACACACACACACACACACACACACACACACACACACACACACACACACACACACAGAGACACAGACACAGAGACACACACACACACACACACACACACACACACACACACACACACACACACACACACACACACACACACACACACACACGCAGCACTGAAATCCACAACTGAATTAATGACGCAAAGACTGCGGGCAGCGCATCTGACAGATGATCGGTACCAGAATGATACACCTTATTACACCTGATTGCCACTAAAATAAATATACATATATATACATACATATATACCCGGAACCCTATAAACTGAGTGAGTGAGTGAATTTCGTTTTACGCCGCTTTTAGCAATATTCCAGCAATATCACGGCGGGGGACACCCGAAAATGGGCTTCACACATTGAATCGAACACGGGTCTTTGGCGTGACGAGCGGACGTTTTAAACACTAGACTACACACACACACACACGCACGCACGCACGCGCACACACACACACACACACACGTTCACTAGACGCCAATGTTGACGTTAAACAGACACCATTGTTGGCGTTAAACAGACGCCACTGTTGGCGTTAAACCTACACTACTATATACGTTCACTAGACGCCATTGTTGGCGTTATACAGACGCCACTGTTGGCGTTAAACAGACGTCATTGCTGGCGTTAAACATACGTCACTGTTGGCGTTAAACAGACGCCATTGCTAACGTAAAACAGACGCCACTGTTGGCGTTAAACAGACATCTTTGCTGACGTTAAACAGACACCACAGACGTTGAACAGACACCAACGTTATTAAACAGATACCATTGTTGACGTTGAAGAGACCCCATTGTTCCGGTTAATGTTTGATGATGTAAGGGCATAATTATCAATAACCAATACTTTTAGGAAGTCATTTTGACAGAATGATTATACTCTCAGCAACGTGTTTACCTAGCTCGCATTATTTACAGGCTACATTGACAGGTGAATGCAGTTGTAAACAATTACAATTTCTTAAGCAACAACTCCTTTCCATCGTAACATATCTCCGCCGTAAGGAGTCTCCACTGTATAACAAAGCATGTGTTAAACATCAACCAACCATACTTCTTCTTTTCATAATGGGGCGGTGGGGTAGTCTAGTGGTTAAAGCGTTGGCTCGTCGCGCCGAAGACCCGGGTTCGAATCCCCACATGGGTACAACGTGTGAAGCCCATTTCTGGTGTCCCCCGCCGTGATGTTGCTGGAATATTCCTAAAAGCGGCGTAAAGCCAAACTCAGTCAGTCAGTCAGTCTTTCCATAACAAAAAAAAATCACAGCTGGGGTCCATTGAACACGACTAAATCAATAACATGAGTTAAACAACAAACAAACGGTAGATAATGAAACACGATGAATGAGTGAGTTTAGTTTTACGCCGCACTCTGCAATATTCCAGCTATATGGCGGCTTAAACGCGATGACATGCATAATTTAAAAACCCGAACACAGCTGGGGTACATTTATGATTCCGACTATATCAAATACATGTTTATATCATGTAGGATCAAACAGCCATGACACCAGGTGTTACAGGAACGGCGAGAGGACACCGCCCTACCTGTGGTTCACGACACACTCATTGTTTACCACAGAACAAGTTTTGTTTGTTATTTAACGCTGCATCCAGAAATATTCAAGCTATTTGGCAGTAATCAAGTCTGGACCAGATAAAGGAACCTTTGAGGTGAGGTGAAATTGGGTTTAACGTCGTGCTTGAGAATATGTCGCTCATATGACGACGTGCATGCGTGTGTATGTGTATGTGCGGCTGCTTGTACTAGCCCAGACTGAAGCTGGTTTTATAGTGCTAGCCCACTGAGATACCATGCCGCAGTGAAGCATGAATACTCCACCCAGACACATTATACTGACTCCGAGCCGACTATTCCTTGTTGTACCCATTAATGCCGAGCGCCAGGCAGGGACCAACAAGTACCATATTTTAACGTCTTTTGGTATGACGCGGTCGGGGATCGAACCTGCGACCTTCCGCTCTCTGGGCGGACGCTCTAACCACTACACCACGGAGGCAGTCTGTAAATTTTGAAGTCGTTGCCTGGGTTCAGATGTGTTTAACTGTCCCAGTGTTCCACGCGTCAGAAGCTCAGAACGCACCGTACTAAGAGTACTTTCACAGTTGGTTTTTTTTCGATATTAGTTCAAGAAGAGTTATCGCCAATTTGTCATCCATGATTATTTCCTAGGAATGAAAACCCAGCATAATATCTGAAAATATATTAATATCATGTTATGAAACATTTATTGGTGATGCAGATAAAATGTTTACTTCAATTTGTTTATACTTATATTCATTAAAGATATTTGTTGCTAAAAGGTTATAATTTAATGTTGCAAAGTACAAAGTATTTAAATAGTGTGGTAACTTTTCATTGTAAAAGTTAGTTCAGATGAAGTTCAGAAAGTCTAGCTAGGCTATAACTGTTATTAGTTTTCCCCAAAGTATTATCAGGATTGTCGTGGCTAGATTATCGTTCCCCTTATCGTTAGTGATGCTCCTCATCAGAGCACATGGCTTGTCACACCCTCCATGTTGATCAACGGGAGATCGTGCTCTTCATCGCCGTCTTCAGTTTCCTATATAGAGGCGAACACTTTAACCATTGAGTTACCGTCGCAAGATGGACATGATGTGGAGAGGCTGTAAATATTACGAGGTCCCGTGTATTTCCAAACGCTACTATTTAAACGAAATATA